CTGAACTCGTTTTTTCAGATGTTAATTTTAGTGGTAATAATTCTGAACTCTGTTTTTTCAGATGTTGATTTTAGTGGTAATAATTCTGAACTCTGTTTTTTCAGATGTTGATTTTAGTGGTAATAATTCTGAACTCTGTTTTTTCAGATGTTGATTTTAGTGGTAATAATTCTGGATGTTGTTTTTTCAGATGTTGATTTTAGTGGTAATAATTCTGAACTCTGTTTTTTCAGATGTTGATTTTAGTGGTAATGATTCTGGATGTTGTTTTTTCAGATGTTAATTTTAGTGGTAATAATTCTGAACTCGTTTTTTCAGATGTTAATTTTAGTGGTAATAATTCTGAACTCTGTTTTTTCAGATGTTGATTTTAGTGGTAATAATTCTGAACTCTGTTTTTTCAGATGTTGATTTTAGTGGTAATAATTCTGAACTCTGTTTTTTCAGATGTTGATTTTAGTGGTAATAATTCTGGATGTTGTTTTTTCAGATGTTGATTTTAGTGGTAATAATTTACCCAGAGTTCCTGAACCTTTGTATAAATTATCTTCGTTGAAACGTCTTAATTTATCAAATAATCAGATTTCAGAGTTATCTCTCATGGTTGGTAAGTTTCAAGAGGTTTTTTATAAGTAAGAGGTTGAATAACACCACTTGATTGTTCATCTAACATGTATACACAACACGGCCTCGGCTAATATTGTAACTCTGAACATTCAGAGTATTATTTACAGCATTTTCTACTCCGTACTACCGAGACTTTGTCTGGTATCTAACCCTAGTTTCACTTTCCATATATGGGGATATCCTTTTCATTCTGATACGATTTGGGGATATGAAAACATGAAAGGGGAATCTACCAGTCACCTGGCCCAAAACATTTAGAGGAGGTTAGAATGTGGAAATCACAACTCTCTAAAGACTGAATTAAGTATTAACACCAAAACTACAAGAAATACCCAAGACTACTTAAAATATATCTGTCTTTCATATTGACGATATTAAAGTTTGTTTTATATTTTAGATGTGTGGACGAATTTAGAAACGTTGAATCTTTCTAGAAACAATATTAAATCATTACCAGTAAGTTTCAACAGAATTTATAATTCTAACCTAATATTCTAAATTTACGTTTCTCATGGACCCTGGGTATCTTGATTATATTGTATAACACTAGATCTTAGTTTTACACTCTTCTAATATTCTAAATTTACGTTTCTCATGGACCCTAGGTATCTAGATTATATTGTATAACACTAGATCTTAGTTTTACACTCTTCTAATATTCTAAATTTACGTTTGTCATGGACCCTAGGTATCTTGATTATATTATATAACACTAGATCTTAGTTTTACACTCTTCTAATATTCTAAATTTACGTTTCTCATGGACCCTGGGTATCTTGATTATATTGTATAACACTAGATCTTAGTTTTACACTCTTCTAATATTCTAAATTTACGTTTGTCATGGACCCTAGGTATCTTGATTATATTGTATAACACTAGATCTTAGTTTTACACTCTTCTAATATTCTAAATTTACGTTTGTCATGGACCCTGGGTATATTGATTATATTGTATAACACTAGATCTTAGTTTTACACTCTTCTAATATTCTAAATTTACGTTTGTCATGGACCCTGGGTATATTGATTATATTGTATAACACTAGATCTTAGTTTTACACTCTTCTAATATTCTAAATTTACGTTTGTCATGGACCCTGGGTATCTTGATTATATTGTATAACACTAGATCTTAGTTTTACACTCTTCTAATATTCTAAATTTACGTTTGTCATGGACCCTGGGTATCTTGATTATATTGTATAACACTAGATCTTAGTTTTACACTCTTCTAATATTCTAAATTTACGTTTGTCATGGACCCTGGGTATCTTGATTATATTGTATAACACTAGATCTTAGTTTTACACTCTTCTAATATTCTAAATTT